CCGTACTGACGATAAACAATCTTTTATTCAAGTCGTATTATTGTTAATCGAAATATTAGAAATAATCTATGTATCTATTAATAATTTCTCATTCGTGCTGATGATTCTTATAACTTGATTTTCTGAAACTTATATACAAAGTATTGATTATAAATTTTAGTCTTATCTGAACTCAAGTTGCATGGTGTCATACTTACACTTGTACTGTATATGAGTGCTGCAAAGGGAAAAGGGATACTTTGATCTATCGGTTTATCATGTCTGTCCAAACGGGCTTTCAATTTTAGCTTAATACGCATATAGGAATTATATTGTATTGCTGATCAATTTTTGCAGGATTAAACTAAAATTGAAAGTAGACAGACATGATAAACCGATAGATCAAAGTATCCCTTTTCCCTTTGCAGCACTCATATATGGTACACCTTTAAAAATATATATACCGGGTTGGTGAAAAGTCCCTAACCAAACAGGAGCTTTTTTTGCTATAGTACCAGACAGCAAAAAACATCCAATTTTTTTTAAAATCGCCAAATTTTGAGATTATATAATTGGCTAATTTTTATATAATGAATTCTGATTGGTTAAATATATGAGTGCTGCCAAGGGAAAACCTGTCATCAGACTTTCAATTATATTTTATGTACAGTTAGCCATCTATGAAAAAATCTATTATTATAACAGATTTTCCAATAGACGGCTAACTGTACACAAAATATAATTGAAAGTCCGATGACAGGTTTTCCCTTGACGGCATTCATATATAAACAATTTTTCTTTTATGTAACTCCGAATTTTTTGATTACATATGAGTGCCGCCAAGGGAAAACCTGTCATCGGACTTTCAATTATATTTTGTGTACAGTTAGCCGTCTATGGAAAATCTATCATAATAACAGAATTTTCATAGATACACAAAATATAATTGAAAGTCCGATGACAAGTTTTCCCTTGGCGGTACCCATATAAACTTTAAGCTCTAATAGTTTTTTTTTTATTTTATAAGAAAAATAAATTTGTAAGACAGATTTATTATTCTGAGTTATAAGCAATTTTATATTTTATATATAAAAAATGGATATTTTTTGCTGTCCAGTACTGTACATCCGCTAATATCAAAAGTCGTTTATATAAATTTATATACCCGGGTGAGTGAAAAGGATCTTTCTGTTAATCACTAAATGACGTATTGCAAATACAAAATAAATTTTTTAATATTAGTAAAAAAGGACCTGCTTAGGGACTTTCGCCAAGCCGGTATATTATTAGTAAAAAACGTGTAAAAAATGAATGCTAGGATGAACGTTCTAGATAGAATCTATTTGTCACATATTTACCTTTTTTTTTTTACTACTGTAGGACTGATTTTCTAAGATGAATTTATAAACTACTTGTCCCTTTCGTCCCTGATCCATTTTTAGCTAGCTTCTTCTCATGACAGTCGATGCTTAATTGCATGGTATCACAATAACCATAGTTAGAATGATTGACTTACCACATTCTTTGCGTGAAAGAGAATCCCAGAGCCTTGCATCCTCCCATTCGATAACTTCCCTGATTACATACCTCCCCGTTTTTAAGTACCGATAACGATAAAATGCCATATGATATTTTTTTATATCCAGAAACTAGAAGCTCCTTTTTTACAGAAATGCCTGATTTAGCAACTAGTTGCTAAATTGGGCATTTCTGTAAAGTCTGCAACTATTAGTATCCTGCGCCAATTGAAATTTTTTGCCATCTATTTTATCCGTTTTCACCCGATGGAGACCTTAAATTCCCGAAATCATCCGCTAGGACCATCCAAGTTTCAGATTTCATATTGTAAAAACGAAAAATTACCATTGCGCGGCTTTAGCATTGGATTTGGTTTTTAGGTTAACAAGAAAAAAAAATCCAACCGGCCGACACAAGTTTCAGATTCCATGTAATGCAAACTGAAAAATTAACTGCGTGGCCCAAGCCTTCATGTACGTACAGTATTTGTTTTTATCATTGTCTCATAGATTAAGTATATTCAGTATATAGTAGAGTATAGTACTTAAATAGGTATATATATATAGTTAATACGTACTGTTTAACTGCATACTGTTGCTTTCTAAATGCATAAAAAGTTTTGACTTTTAATTATTAACGCAGAAATAGTTCTTATAACTTAAATGTACATATTGTCTATATATCTCTGACGGGTAGCATGCAATTAGACAGTAACAACTGTATAGTAGAAATAAATAGATAAAAAAAAATTACATGGATGGAGTCAATAGTTATATAGGTTACTCTGGAGTTTAAAGAGTAGAGTTTATAGAATTTTATAATTTTATGTTGTTCAAATTTGCATTGAAAAATTTCTCAACCTTGCTCATAATTTGAGTTCACTCATTTTCTACATCAGAAGACTGGATCACTAGAATTATTCTATGATCGCATGGCGGAGTTTTACAATTTATAATCACTACTTTAATCAGTAAAGCTTCCACGTAGCCATGTACAAATCTTATTGTAAACCGTCTAAGATTTCCGATTTAAAAAAACCATTGACGGAAATAAGTTATATTACATCACCCGGAAATTGCTTCTAGCAATGCTGTTATCCCCGGGAAGTCCAGGGAAATAAAAACATTGGTAGAAACTCTGGTTTTTTTTGATAATACCCTTATTTCACCGCTATGGGAATAATCCAGTAGATCTCTGCTGGGGACCTTTCGGACCGAGGATTTACCTCCGTTGCGGGAAATAAATAGTACATATCCAATTTTAAACGCACAATCACATTGCTCTTTCTTTCTGTTTTGAACAGTCGCAAATCACCATATCATGGGGAATTCAAGACCCGCTCTAATCGGAAGTTTAATTTTACTAATATAAGTTTTCTATTTCCGAGAATTACAATTCCTGTGATGATCGTGGAAAATTTGTTCAACGTAAGTACATATATGGATGTATTTCATTATATATATATCTGTTTATAGTTAATGTGAGAAAAACTTTGCTATAACAGATAACGATAACGAAAAACTAATCTGATATATCGATATACTATTATCAATATCTTCCCTAAAATTGGCAAATCACCTTTATAAAATTTTTTGGTAAAATTGTTTTTATATAAATTTTCTTTTATGGTCAAAACATAAAGAGCCAATTAATTAATTTTTTTGTATTGCTTATTATATAAAAAATAAACACTACCAATTTACGTAATAAATTAGGAACATTACTAGTGAAATGATTTTCCGAAAAAAGGTTCACCCGAATTGATAACAGTGATCAAAAAAATAAGGTTTTAGCATCAAATAATTCTCGTAATTCTGGAAGGGTTTTATTTTATTTCTTTAAAGAATCTAATTGGTTCAATTAACATTTTTACAGAAATTTTTATAACAATATTATAATATAATATGATAATAACAGATAATACAGTATAATAATAATACACATAACTTTTGCTCCAAAAAAAGTTTTTAAAGGTTTATCCAATCAATTTTTCAAAATAAATTACATAACGATTAACAACATGTGAGATTTCTAAAATAAGCAATCTCTCATATAAAAAGCATTTATTCATATTGGTTATGAAACTTTTTTCGGTGTTTGATTTGGATGGAATTAATGTACCAGGAAGCTGCTTAAATGCATTTGAAAAGTTGTTTGCATATTTGCAGTAATGCACTAAATTAACCAAATTATGTACGAATTACTGAAATAATTTATTAATATCGTGACATAATGTATAGTGACATAGGGTATCCTGATTGTCAGATTCGCTTGATCAAGGAGATCCTCTTAGAATTTTCAGAATTGTTAAATGTTAAATTTAGAAAGGGTTAACCATAATAAAAAATATATATATTATATATATATATATATTCATATTACGTATACATTATAATAATTATTATAGGAATATCATTTCATAATATTTGTATTATTATATACGAATTTATAAATTCTTATAGTTTTAAAATACATTTTATATAATTCTTATATATTACGTAAAATTAAAGAAATGGTGTGATCGTTTATCACAATTATTGTGATGAAATTATAAAAGAAATCTTTAGCCATTATAATTGATGTGATAGTTTTTTAATGGGAAATCTTACTATTAAATAATAAACAAATTTATCATCGTTACTCGAAATATTCAATTAATAATAGCAATCAATAACTAAATTTTTTTTTTAATATAAATGCTGTGAATCTTAAATATATATATACATACGTACGTATGCTCGTCTACGTATAAAAATCTTGACGTCACCTAAATTTCATGTTAGCGCAACTTTATTTAAAGTTATTTCTGCGTTATTTTTCTGGTGTTGTAAATTCGTACGTACGTACGTACGTAGGTTTTTTTTTTCACTCGCATAAAATGCCAAGTGACACTTAACATATAATTATCGTCGAATTATTTATGATGAATTAAGTTATTTGTTTAAATTAATTGTGACACTTACTAAATTTGACAATTGTTAGCATATAAATACATAGTAATCGCTTATTTCTTAAAAAAAATTTTGGATTTTCGTTATTTCAATTCTTTCAATTACAATTTATATTTTTAAAGATAATTCTTTCTTTCCAATTTTATTTTCGTGCTAAATATTTTAAAATTCTTTTATTCATCTTGCCTTTTTCTTTATTCTTTACCTCATTTACATAAACGTTTCGATTTTCTTGCTTACGTACTAAATTACATACTTTTTCTTGAAACGTCATTTTTCCACTCTTTTTACCGACTTCAAGTATATGCATGAAACCCTGCAGATTTCAAATACATATATAAAGTAATTTTATTTCCTTTATAGTTCTCGCTTCGTCTTTTCTTTTATCTTTTGCTTCTTTTTTTGTATCTATCTTGGAATTTTTCTGAATAAAATCATTTTTTTAAAATTCATTTACATTAATGGTTAAAGAATATCACTTTTAAAGCATTCTCATTCATTGTGCACTATACATTCACTTATTTTTGATTATTTAAATAAACTGCTATAAACATGTCTACAATCCTTGTAAATGCTTGGGTGGAAATAACCGATCCGCATACAAACGATATCTTCTATGCTAATCCTGTATTTATCTTTTCTTTTCTAATCACGCTTTCGCTAATTTATTATATATATTTTTTTATTGACTTTTTTAATTTATTTTTAATTAGCAAACGGGAGAATGCGCGTGGGAAAAACCATCTAGTTCATTATTGTAAGTTTATATAGTTTATTATTTATTTTATTCATATAATAATCTTTTTCTATTAAAATTTTTATTCCTTATTATGCAGGCATCAAAAAGATCCGACAGGGGAATGGTGGGAATTATGGGATGATAATCACCAACTCCCTTATTATTATCACACGGCATCTGGGCAGACTGAATGGATCCGTCCGGAAACTGGAACAATCATTCCACTGACAAAAATTCAGGTATTAAATTTGCTTAATTTATCTGTTTGTCTTATCATTTAAAATTCAATCGCTTTATTAATGGTCTTCTCATTATTTAAGAAATCATCAATTGGTAAAAGGATATCAATTGCTCTAACTCCATCGGATGATGAGATTGATATAAATCAGTTACAACAAATTAATGGCTTAAGGCATGCTAATACTATATCTCCGGAACGTTCTTCCGGAATGTTAAGTATTAATTACGTTTTATCGAAACAAACTTCGGTTTCATCAAATTTCTCGCCTCCCCCGTTACTTAAATTATCAACTTCAAACAAAGAAGATTCACTTGAAACTCTACTGAGTGAAAATAGCGTCGATATGGGTTCCTCAAATAAAAATATTAGTCGTTTAAACTCTTTGAACGATTCAAGTAAAGAAAGTTCGGAAAATTCTATAAATGAAGATTTTACAGGTTCCTCTTCTCAAAGTTCTCCCAACGATAAATATATTGCTTCAAATTCTTCTGATATACATTCTCAGGTTTTTTATCTATGAATTTTCTTTTCTTTTTTTTTTTCTGCCCTTTTTTTTCATAAGCTCTTTTTTTTATATATTAATCTATATAATAATAATTTATTAGGATGGTGAAGTAGTTCCATTAAAACGGAAAACAAAAATTTCTCAATCTTCTATTGATTCCACAATGAGTGCATCTACGGCTTCAACTTCTCGTCCAAAAACTCCAAATTCTGGAAACACATCTAATGGTGGAAATCAATTAATGCCAAAGATTCCAAATTCTGGTAATACTTCTAATGGTGGAAATCAATTGTTCAAAATTATGACTCCAAAAAAATCTACCGAAGTTGCTGAACGTGCTAGAAAGGCTGGAATTAGTAACCCTCTCGGAATAAATTATGGTAGGTCTAAATTAAATTTTTTTTTTTTTAAAAAAAAAATTAATTACAAAACCGCTTGAATATATGTGTACTCGATCATTGATCATTAATCATTGAAAATATTATTAATAATGATGTGTTTTTTCTTATTTTAGACGCTGCTGCTGCAATGAGGCCAACTGGCACGTATAGGGATCTTGAAAAAAAGAGATCTGGATACAAAATACATACTCGTAAATTAAGTACTGGGTAGGCTAAACCTAGCATCTTAAATTATTCCTATCTTTCTTCCCAAATATTTTTGATGCTTATTCTTATTTGAACTTGTTACAGGGAAGTTATGACTTTACCTGCCGAATTACAACAAGATATAAATAAGTTTCGTATAGATGGGTTTGCTAGAAAGTATTTTAATACTCATAAAAAAGGAATTTTTCGAAGGAAAGTTCCGGTTGAAAAGATGCTTAAATTTCAAAAGGTAGTTCTCGGGATTTTACTTCTCAAATTTTGATGTTAATAAAGTGCATAAGAAAAAAATTTAATTATGATATTTTTTTTTAGGATGGACTTAAACAACCATTGATGGTACTAAATCCTAATATTCAAAAAGATGCGATAAAATGTTTCAAAACTATTCAACGCATAATGGGTGATAGGTCAAAAGGTCGTAGTGGTTCATCGAATGTATTGGAAAATATTCAATGGCTGCTAGATTGTGGTATTTTACATGGCGAATTACGAGATGAGATATATGTTCAAATTTGTAAACAATTAAATGATAACCCTAATAAGTACGTCTATATATATTATATATGGGATCTTTGCTAGGAAAATCACCTTTCGAATTTTCCGATCGGACTAATTCGGAAAAGCTTAGACCAGAATGCCAGTTCTTATTCATATGTAAATCACTTTTTGCGTTATATATCCGATAGTTTATTAAATAAACTGCCGAATCAGTAAAGTAAAAAGATGTTTTACATATGAATAAGAACTGGCATTCTGGACTAAACTTTTTCGTAGCGCGATCGGAAAATCCCGAAGGGTGGTTTTCCTAGCAAAGATCCCAAATATTATTATTATTATTTATTTTTTAGAAAATCTTTTATAATATCTTTTATAATAAAATTTTTCTTTTGCTTTTTTTTTTATTTTAAAGAGATAGCATAAGAAAAGGTTGGGAACTTCTTAGTGTGGTGACAGTTACTTTCCCACCATCTAAGAATTTTGAGGCATATCTTTTGAATTTCATAAGTGAAAATTTTAACGTGCAAGAAAACCAAATTGATGTGTTAAGCAAACATGTGCATAGTAGATTGGTTAGAATATGTAAACGTGGTCCGAGGGGTAAAGTTTTGACATTAGGGGAAATAGAGAGAGCAAGGGTTTGTTTTTTTTAAAGAAATATTATATATAATTTATTATTTTGAAAATATTGTATCGTCATTCTCACATTACTTTTTTTTATTAACATAGGAGGCGCCTTTTCATCCTTCTTTATTTGGTGAGACATTAGATTTCGTAATGAAGCTGAAGCTTCAAAGAGAATCATATCCAAATTTAAAATTACCATGCATTTTGCCCTTTCTGGCGAATGCGATTCTTGAGTTGAAGGGTCAAGCTTCTGAGGGTATATTTCGTGTACCTGGTGATGCTGACTATGTAACTGAACTGGTATATATAATATATATATATGCATATGTATATATGGAGTGAGTCAGTATAAACGCATCAAATTTTTTTAAGTAAAAACTTGAACAAAAATAACTCAACAATAATTTAATCAAATTTAATAAAAATTTTTTAAGTTAATTCTAAAAACTTGTAGAATTTATTAAAAAATTTTTACCAAATTTATATTTGTTTAAAAAACTCATTAAAATAAAAAAAGAGTTGGTGCATTTCTACTGACTCACCCCCATATAATTATTTAAAAATCTCTAATATGTTATTTACCATTAATATAGAAACTAAGAATAGAAAATAATCGGTTCGACATAGCTGGGATAACAGATGCAAATGTTCCATCTTCACTATTCAAATTTTGGTTACGAGATTTAGCTGATCCACTGATACCGAGTGAATTTTATAATCAATGTATACAAAATTGTGAAAATGTAGAACTTTCAATCGAAATTATTAAAAATTTACCGGAAATTAATCGAAGAGTTGTTTTGTTTGTGATCGATTTCTTGCAGGTTTGTATTATTTATAAATATTTCTTAAATATTTTAATACTTTGTATATTTATTATATATTTACTATATTTTCATATTAGGTATTCACGAAACCTCACATAACAAAGTTAACAAAAATGAATGTAAATAATCTAGCAATGGTATTTGCACCAAATTTCTTAAGATGTCCATCAGATAATCTCGCAGTTATATTCGAGAACACAAAATACGAGCAAACATACGTTAGGACATTGTTATTAAATCTTCATAGTAGAGAAATTGAATCTGATCTAGAGTATATCAATGTTGATGATGTATAATCTATTACAAATTTTTTATGGCTTAAAATTATTTTAGATATATATAATAGTTCAAAAATGGTACGTATTATATATTTTTAATTATTATCATTCAAAAAGGGCGTTTGAGCATTCGTGAATAAATATTTACATGAATTTTTATTTCTTAATTTTAGCATATAAAAAAATATTAATAATTCCATATTTATTCTTTTTAAAAAAATTTATATATCAATTGGTGGATATAAATAATTTAAAAAATTAATCAATTTAGTAGATCTGGATGATTAATAAAAAAAGAATACATTTATTTTTCATATATCACATTAAGTTTACACATTAAGTTTTTTCAATTCTATTTTTGCTATTCTTTGTGATACAGTGTATGTATTAAAAATTTCAAGATAATTTACTATTAATATTTACAGTATTTTTGATTCTTTATATGACAATCAATGATAGGGATGTTAATAGAGTATTACCATTTCATACCGGTATAGTTTAACTCTAGATTGCTATAGAAGTTAGATACTTCAGGGCTATTACTAAAACTACTCCAGATTAAAAATATCAACCAAATTTTGTATATTAAAAATAAAATAAAAAAATTTGATAAGATAATCAATATTATAGCATTAGAAGTTTTAGATATCGCAAATAATTAGCAATATTTTAAAATATACATGTTATGATATAAAATTTAATCCAGAACAGGTAAAACTATGGAGTTTAGTCTGGAGTAACTCTGGCGTAGTTTGGTTATAATAGTTATTCTGGCAGAGTACTCCAAACCATTCCAGATCACTTCGTTAGCAACCCTAGTGAAGCCTCGCGCTGAATTCTAGTAAAACTTATTGGGTGAAATCCGCGTTAGCATAACGTTTTTTATATATTAACGCGAATTTCACTTCCATGTGACTTGCTTCATCACGAAGAAATCTAATTAACGTGTCTAAAATAAAAATCTTAAGATTTCCCATTATATTTCAATCTCCAGTATTATCTCTAGCGGTAACTAAATTCTCAAATTCCCATAACAAAAAAAGAAAAAAAACGAAAATTTGATATTCCAATGTACTACTAGAGCAGAATCGAAATATGATATGGAATCTCGAGAATTTTATTTTTAGACACTTTAATTACGGTAATAGTAATTTGGAAAGTATTATAAACTTCGTATCCTGCAATTTTTTCTTTATAGATGAGGCCTTTTCCTAATCTAGAGCTCTAGTCCGATAATCTCTAATTACTCGGGCCAATTTTTTCTACCCTCGATCGAATCCTTCCATTATTAGGGTTTAGTGTAGCAGTTTCGGAGTTACTTCGACTTTCTTAACGTATATACAATAACTGTTATCTGTATGCTACATCACATTGCATTCATTGCACTTCTTTTTTGGTCAGACGCTTTATCTAGCGGTTATTTACTCCGATTACAATTTCAAAGACGATAAATACTTTCGGTTATTTTTTTTTTCTTTTTTTACCAATTTACATTATGTCCGATTCCGTAGCTGAGTGTGTAATGAATACAGCGGCTTCTTCAGTTAAAGTTACTGCAGAAATAGTGGGCTCTTATGTTCCTATAGTTGCTTCGGTGAAAATTTTAGTTGAAGAAATTTTTAAAGTTTATGCGAATGTGGAATGTAACAAAGAATTATGTTATATCATGATGAGTCGAGTAAAGACAGCAGAATTTGCACTGGATCAAATGATGATGAGAGTTGAAGAAAATGAAGAATATTTTTACGAAAAGAATATTTTTTATCCCTCAAAAAATTTGTAAAAATTTTAACAGATGTTAAAAATTTTTGTGAGAAAGTGTCAAAATTTAAAAGTGTTAGATCGTTTTTTGAAGCCAATAAAATTAAGCAAATATATGATAAATTAACTCAAGATTTTGATACTTGTATGAAAGACTTACATTTTACTTTAGCAATTGCTAATGAAAATCAAAGAGCCAAAGAAGCTCAAAAAGTCGATCAGGTTTTAATGGTATGAAAATACCATAATATTGTTATACCAATTTTTTAGTATGTTAATTTAAATTTTTTTTTTATATTCTGATCTTTAGGATCGAAAAACTCAACATTGGCATGGATGGCATGGACAATAAACTCGATGGATTAGAAAAAAAAAAATCTATTATAATGCATAAAATGGATATACGACCAAGTGAGGTTCATGCAAAAAAAATCAATGAAAATGAACTAACAAAACCCACAGCTGGACGTCTTGCTAATGAAACAGTCATTAGGAAATATTATAATGGCATTGAAGTTGCGTGTAAACCTATCAAAGATTCTAAACAAAAACAAGGCGAGTTAGCAATTCTTGGACAATTAAGTCTATCACCAAACATTCTTAAGTTTTATGGTCTCTCATATTTTGATAACAATGATTATATGGTTCTTGAATGGGCTAATTATGGAAATTTGAGTGAACTTTATGATAAATATGATATTCCTTGGGATAGAAAAATTCAAATTATTCGTGATATCTGTAATGGTCTTATATTTTTGCGTAAATTAAATATTCTTCATCATGATATTAGATGCGAAAATGTTTTTGTAAGTATAATTAAAATAAATTTTGGTTCATATAAGAATTAATAAAAATTAGCAAGTTACAACTATATCAATTATAGATAACAAAAAGCTTGGATCCAAAACTTGGAAATTTTAGATATGCACGTGAAACAGCTGGTGATACTACTAGCCATTCATTTCAAAAACCATTAGAAATGTTTCGCTGGATGGCGCCTGAACAGATCATGAAATGTAAACAAAATCCTGATAAAAAAGGATATACATTCAATTGTGAAATGTTTAGGTAAATTCGTAAAGATCTTTTTCAAACAAATCGTAAATTTCTTTATTCTTTTATTTATTTATTATTTTTGGCTATTAGTTATGGAATGCTCATTTGGGAGCTTTGTTATGAAAGGATTCCATACAAAACTTTGGAATTAAGAAAAGTGGCAGATTATGTCTTAAGTGGTAAGCGAGAAAAACTTACAACTGGAAATTTTGAAAATGCTGATGATGCAAAGATTCAGAAAAAGTTTAATGAAATCATTGATAAAGGCAAGTTAAATTATCTATTTTTTTTTCAATTTATTTTATTAATTTTGATTTAACTAATAAACAGCATGGCAGCCTCAACCAACGAATCGAATAGACCTTATGCAATTACATAGCGAACTTGAAAAATTGGCCGAAGAAAATCCAATTTCTCATTCTACACCACAGCTTTTAGAGAATAACAAATTGGATTTTGGTACCGCAAATGACATAACTGAAAATACAAAGTTGCCAAAAATTGATGATGATCTAATTTTTGAAGATAACACATCTATTGAACCTTTAGTGTCCATTGAAGAAGGAATTAAACTTCACCGTGACAAGAATTACGAAAGTGCATGGAAGTGTTTTGAAAAAAATGCAGAGCTTTGTGATCCATTAGCACAATATTACCAAGCATATTACCTATATAATGGATATTTTGTCAAAAAAGATATAGAACGCGCAAATCAACTTTTTAAGCAAATACGTGTAATAATGATCTTAAAGAACAATATAAAGAAGCAATTTCAAATTCGCAATATCGATACGCAGTTTCATTGATTAATAAATTTAGTAAAGGTGATCCTAATATTAGTGAAGATGAAAAACGCAATGAAATCTTTCGTTACTTAAAATTAGCAAGTGATAATAAGAGCAGTGAAGCAACGTATTGGTTGGGTAATATTTATGTAGACGGAAAGCTTAGGACTCAGCCGAATAAAGAGCTAGGATTAATATATTTAGAATTAGCTTCACAATATGGCAATCAAGACGCAAATAAGTTATTGAACGACCTTCGTCAGAAAAGTTAAATTCCCTTGTTTGATCACTATTAAACTTATTTTTATCTATTTTATCAGTTTTATAAGTCCTCATTGTTCGCCCCTCATATTTATTATCTATATCAATATTTATATAAATTGTAGTTAAATCATCATTTATTTTAAGTCGCGTATTAAGTGTGCTGACGTAATTACGTAAATCGGCTTTTTTAATACTAGCTTCTGCATTCAGATGATGCAGAGGCAAGCCTGTAAAGGTTGATACTTGTATTCTATTATTAAAATGTATGTCAGATAAACGGGTTCGATCATCCCTTGATAATAAAAGCACCATTTATACGATAAGACTTGTCTTCAAATTTCTATTTTTAATATCATCATATCGATATACAGTATATATGGCCAGAAAAGTTAATATAATGACCTAAAATTTTAAATTATTATGGTCGTCCTAATTTTACTTTATATAGCATACAATTTATCTATACACGGTTCTTGTTTTGTTTCCTTTATCGTCAGTATGCTTTACAAAATCGAGTTATTAAATTTTCATTTTGAGAAAATCAAATATCCCTTTAAATATCTACATTATATAATAATTAATAAATTTGGCTGTTTACATATGATAAATAAAATTTAATGTGATAGTATTCACTTGGTTTTTCAACTGGTAAACTTACTATATAGAAACAATTAAGAATTAGGTAAACATTGTTGTGGTCAATATACTGTAGAAAGACCCGATACAATGAATTGATAATCCAAAAACACTATCTTGATTCTTGAACTATCCATTACATATATATTTAACATTTAAAGGTTTAGAAAGTTTATGAAACCTCAAAAGTCGACTTGTATATATAGATAGCTTATTTGTAATAAAGTTATGTTAATCTAACTTGTTTGTGATATAGATTTAGTATATCCATTAATTCTTCAATTGTTGGTGGTTCTTGAGATTCAGCATCTAAGCATTGGATTTCCATTCGACTTGGACCGGAAATTTTCAAAGCTGGCACGAAGCAGCCCGTATGTGCTATGCTCCTTTAATAATGATATATCAATTAACACAATATTAAATTTTAAACCATTTCTGTTCAACATTTTTGAACAATTTAATTTATAGCTTGCCATACCTGTCACGTGAACTTAGATTTCTTATTCGTGTAACATT